AGGTTTACAAAGCGGGGAGCAGAGATTTGGCTATTAACTGCCGATTCGTTAGTTTAACCAATGCATTTGTAAAACTAATGGAAAAGTCTATTCAAACTTAGACTACGTGGGATGAAATAATCTTTTATTAAGAGGACAACATGGTAAAGATGACAAAGGTATTCGGAGATTTATAGCGTCTTTACACGTAACACCTTTATAAACGAGGTATGTCAATCCTCTCAAAACAGAAGTCAGGAATGAATATATATTCGGAAGGCTATGGATTTAATCCAAGCTGGCTAATGGTTGTAAGAGGTGCGTAACACGGAGTACCTACTCGTGGTCTGGCGCGGATGAGTGTCAGAGAGCCTTCAGCTAGCAGTGTCCATCAAAACTATTTGTTTACTGCAACAATGGATTGAGAAAAAGCGTATCATGCTTTAAAAATTTGCCCATCGCAAGAGCAAAACAGCAATATTCCGTAAGATTTAACTTCTACAAACCTAGGTAAAGCTTCTGACAAGGTTTTTCGCTTGGATCGAAGATTAAAACTGAAGAGTTTTAGGACTTGTTGTGAACTCATATATTGGATAATTGAATTTCTCAATTATAAGAGGCAGCGGGTACAAAAATGGGGCTGTATCAACATGGGAATCTGTAATAGTGGAGTTCTTCAAGGAACTATTCTCGATCTTTTCTTTCGACCTTACGCAAATGACTTGCCAATCGTAGCAACTCATCTGTCCTACTCTTTGCAGATGATATAAAGATTTGGGGACTCATAAATGGTGGCAGATAGAATAATATTACAGGATGACCTAAATTCACTGGTTGAATGGATTAGTAGATGGTCATTAGAAGTTAACTCTAACAAGAACATGATGATGCAAATAAGTGACTATGATGTTGTGTTACTTTAATAAACGGATTACAAAGATCTAGGAGTCGTAATAAGCAACGACCTGGAAACCACTAGTAATGCCAATTCTGTCGTTTCTAGGGTCTTATGGGCTATTCGTAAATCGCTTCGTTACCAGGACGAAAAATGTTTAGGTGTATTATACCTGACTTTCGTGAGGCCTCAATAGGAATGTGGAATTTCAGGTATGAGAATGATATGCCAGAAAGATTTCTGTGGTGATGAACCAAAATGGCGAGAGGTTTCTCTGGTCTGTCGTATAAAGATAAACTGAGATATTTCAACCCATTTCCGTTATCTCACCGCAGGTTATGTGGTGATTTAATACTGGCTTACCGTGTGCTGAACGATGAATTTGTCAATGCTATGTTTTATATTGTTCTTTAATCTAGGGCTGGCCATTTGACGAGACATTTCAAAGCACTTCAAGAACCGAAATCAAGTCGTTTAAGTATGGATATCCGTTTCTCTCATTGAATAGTAAATTGCCAGAACACTTAATATCAGCTCATTCTGTTGATGTATTCAGAGCGAGATTGGATCGCCACAGCACTACAAATTCCAAGGACTAATATAGGCCGATTGACCTTCTATCTTAGTTACTAAAGGCTGACGACAAATATTCAATTTGAGTAGTATATGCCGCCTAATAGGAAGAGTACGCTTCTTTGACCTGACAGGTGTTTTAACGTTTATTTTCCTTCTCAGTCCGGTTTGTTGGATGTATTAGTAAAATGTTATCACTCGCCAAGAAATTTGGAAGTGCTTAAAACCGTTATTTTAATTCACGAATAGCAATAATAAGGATGTATCATATCATCTAGACGCGATCATCGTAATATCAATGATCAAATTTGCACTCAAAGCTTTAGCTTTGTGTAAATCACTATGTTGAGATGACAGGGCGCAAAAACTAACACTGAAACAATTGCTTTTATTTTCTTGGTGTACTATCTCATCAGATTATGTTAGAGAGCATCAAAGGTTTTCCACATTTACCCTTTGAGTTTATGTAGCTTTTATTCATGCTGTGACAGAGCTGTCACTTGCACCAAATTGTCGTTGTTTAGACAGTCTGTGGGCTGTATGGTATTTGTGGTCTTCCAACACTGAACTCAAACTATGTTTGCCTTATCCACTCATTACTAACATCAACTTAAGGCTATTGTGCGAGCTACAATTGGAATAAAATAGAGGAAACCCTAGTGTAATAAAGTCTTACTCGTGAAGTCTTCACGAGCAGTAGAGCAACGTCAAGAGATGCAGTTTCATGGAAGCCGGTCACCAACAGTAGGTTCATACGCCATTTGTTACCTCAGGATCCTACAGCCCATGTGCACCATTGGTTTAGAATCAGGGTTTTCCAACTCCCCTAGGTGGATCCTCCGTATTCGCCAACCATGTTAAAGCGCCAGACATTTGCTTTTCGTTCTCTCAATTTCGTAAACAAACAGTTATGGAAACAGCAGCGACATCTATCAGTGATTTAAACCAAAGGGTCACGAAAAACTAGTAGATTTCTACTAAGTTTATTGCACTGATGGATTCTCGCAAACTCGTCTCATCAGGCTTAAAACACGATAAGGAGCGAAAACAAATCAGATTTGGATTAGGCAAAAGTCTAGGGAACGACCGTGAGCAGTGCTGGGCAACGAAAGCAAAGAGATGAAAAGGCAGCAGCTGTTGCTAACATCAGACAGTTTTTCAGACTAATAAAAGAAATTGGAATTAATAAGTCGCGTGTAAGTGAGATGGTCTCAGAAAAAACGACAGTCTTATTTGCTCTTAGTCCAGACGTGTAGGACTTTGGGCGGAACACTAGGGAGCAGCTCAACTGGCCTCCAGCTACTCTGCAACTACCCACCATTCCCAAACAGCGTGAATGAGACATTGAAGTAGGTCCCCCGACTCTAGATGTTCAAAAGGCTGTAGCTAATCTGAAACGAGGAAGAGCAGATGGATTGGCTGCAGAGGTCTTTAAGGTTGGTGGTCCAGTTTTAGCGATTGAGTTGCCTAATATTTTAGCTAAAATCTGGGAACTGGATATAATCCCATCTGACGGGTCTCAATCACTGATTGTTCCAATATATAAAAATGGGTCAAAATCCTCCTGTCTTAACCATAGAGGTATTACATTAATATAGCATTTAAAATACTAGCCTCAATAATAATCGGGTGCCTAACAAATACTCGTGAACTGCAAATACGAGAAAATCGGGCTGGCTTCAGACCTGATCGTAGCTGCATCGACCACATACTCACTGTTTGTCGGATTTCAAAACAAAGACATGCCTATCGGCGTCTGACAATGATTGTTTTTCTTGACTTAAAAGTAGCATTTGACTCTGTAGACCAAGAGGTTCTGTGGCAGTGTCTGTCATTGAAAGGCGTACCACAGAAGTACATAAACCTTATGAAGGCTCTACTTGAACACTAGCAGTCGAGTCAGAGCTTATGGCAAACTATCATCTGATTATGCAACCTCAAGTGGTGTCCGTCAAGGCTGTCCACTTTCTCCATTTTTGTTTAACTTTATCATAGACCTACTGCTGGAAATAACGTTGTCGACTAAATTTTCAAGAACCAACCTTCCAGGAGGTCCATTTATCGACTTAGAATGCCCAAATAGCATTGTCCTGTTTGATGAAGACGTTGATAAAATGCAGTCTTTTGGAAACACCGAGAAACAATATCAGAATGTTAGGGATGCGTTTCTCCCCCTGTAAATGCAGGTTGTTGCTTCAGGGCTGGTCTGTGTCAACACTTGAACTAGGGATAGGGAGTGAAGTAGTCGAACGCATCGTCAACTTCACTCATCTTGGGAGTCTAATCAGCCCAAATGGGTTGGTGTCTGACGAAATCTCAGCACGGATTCGAAAAGCTCGCTTGGCTTTTGCCAACTCACGTCACCTATGGCGAAGGCGATTTATCCGCCTATCAACTAGTGGACGAGTATACTGCGCGGAAGTTCGTTCTGTTCTGCTTTACGGCTACGAAACGTGGCCATGAATAGTAGAAGATGCTCGTAAGCTACTAGTATTTGACCACAGATGCCTTAGAAATATTCCTTGCATCTGCTGGAATCACCGCGTAAGTAATAGTGAGGTTAGACACAGGGGATTAGGGAATGATGGTAAATCAGTTGCTGAGGTGAATCTTGATCGACTGAGATGGTTGGGTTACGTGTTGCGTTTGCCTGAACACCAATTACCACGACGCGCAATACTGACTAGTGTTGGGGATGGTTGGAAGAGAATTAGGGGAAGCCAGACCAAAACTTGGCATCAGTGCTTAAGGTCACTAACTTCTGGTCTTAGCCATGTTGGTAGATGCAGACTACTTGGTTGGGGTCCGCGTGACTATCGTAACCAGTGGTTGGAGAATCTGTGTGACATGGCTCAGAATCGATCACAATGGCGTCGGTGTATACACTCTTTGTCTTCTCTTAAACTATGAGATTAACATTATTTCATATCTTTCTTTCTACGAACTAGTTCTTTCTACCTGTATTATATCCTTATACGCAATCTTTCTTTTATATATTACCACTATCGAAGTAAGTAATGCTATGAATTTGGTGTTCATTTTGTTGTGCTAATGAGGTGTGGCAACTTGGACCGATGCATATATGTGCCTGGTCCTGCGTTGTAGCTGACTGACTGTCTGTTAACTAGATAGGTGTTCGAGTCGAAAGTACAATAATCTTTTTAATTGTTGGGGCTCTTTATTAAAATAATCCAATTTTATTTTGGGTTTTTACCTTATATCCTGTTTCCTGTTTTTTAGTGGTTTCTTAAAAATAACATTCGGACAGTAAAAAGGAAATCCACCCAACAATAGCTTCTTAACGTCAAGCAAATGTATTGACGTGCCATGTTACATATGTTTCTTATTTGTATGGATAGTTCATCTCATTCATTTTATTTACACTTTTCTAGTTAAAGATATACAGTTTACAAGTAAATAAGTTTATGGATGAACATTCTTATTCATTTTTTGAGTTACAACAAATGAATGCCTTATAGAAGCATGCCCATTTAAACTCTTTATACTTACAGTAATCTATTTTCTGTGATACATTTATAATTTTTGTAATTGAATGCTAAAGCGCAAAGCGGTCAGACGTTGTTCTGCACATTATTATGTGACTGCTGAAGACCACGTGGAAAACGAAGTAAAACACGAAAAACTTCTAACAGAAACTTCTCGATTATCATCTTCATGGGCTGGTCTAAGTGTTTCATGCAGTGAATCTAGCGATAGAGATTGTTCATCGTCTTCCACATCTGTGAATAGCAGTCCTAATCATCGTCCAAGTTCTTTCAGTGGGCCTCTAGTAATTTCCGTCACTTGTTCTTATCCTATCTGCTCCGGAGTTAGCAACTGTGGTCCTTCTGTTGCCACTGGTTCTAGTAAGGGTATGCCTTCGAGTCCTCCTCATTTTCCTCGATCATCTTCTTGCTATCCGTCACCGGTTGCATCACCTGTCTCTTCACGCGTTCAGTGTTATTCACCTTCTTTACCAACCTCAACTGTTTCTCCCAATCCCCGTCGATTTAGCAATACCGGTGGTGCAAGTCCTTTGCTTGTTTCAGCTGCTCTTGGACGCAAACGAGGGTATTTGTCTTGTGTGTCTGGGGGTGCAGGTTCTAGTGATGATGCTAGTCGTGAGGGATCACCAGAATCTTCATGTTGCCACAGAAATAACAAATCTTCATGTCAAAATGATGTCCGGATATGTAGCAGTGGCACAAATCCATATTCTGACTTCCCCTATTTCCGTTGGCCACCGAGTTTACCTGTAGTATCGAGTCCTTCTAGCCCATCATGTCAACTTTTTTCTGTGGCTACAAACTCCAATAACTCCAGTAGCCCATCTTCAATTCCTCCTTCTCCTCATGTCCTGCCCTCATCTCCTATATCTTATATCTCTCATTCTTCAATAACATCCGGTGTTGTTGAATGTACACGCTCTCCAAACGACCTTAATGTCTCTAATGCATTAAGTACAAATGAGATTACGGATTCTATGATGGACTTAGATGTTAAGAAGTGTTCTACTTCAAATTAGTCACATGGATTGTAATCATGTCTTCTTGTTACATTTCAATGTTAATAAATACTGAAAATATCCCTTTCATCGACGTCAAATGTCTTACTGTATGTCTGAATTTTTGTCTTCGTTAAACTTTTCTATCTACCTCTAGGGCTTTTACTTTCCACTTTCAATGAGATTTACTCTGTGTATCCTTATAATACCCAATTTACTACTTTTTTACAATTCATTTTTTGCTGAATATTAAACTGATGTCTTGTAAAGTGTTGTTCAGCTCAAGATCTTTCGCTATCCCGATGGTAAACCACATTTGGTAATTATGTTTATATTATGAAAAATGGTACATTTTTATAATCAGTGATTAACCGACTCTTAAAAAACTTCTGTTTTCCCAAAAACGTTAGTTTTTATTGTGGTTTTCATTATTGGTGGAAGTTCGTGAATCTCGTGCGTTTGATGCATATTTCGGTTTAATAACTAGATATTTACGTCTTTTGATTATGCACACTCGAGTAATCATATCGACAAAAAATTTCACACATTATATATCTGTTTCATTCAACACCCAGATTATTAGGAGGGGCTTTACATTATGTGAAGTACAGTTTGAGGTGTTTTCATTAATAAATTTAATACAGTTCATCATAATGTATAATACCTGCACTTTTAAATTATTTATTCATAGCTCTCTCATGCAAAAGCCTTGGTGTATTTTATTTCCTAAGATCAAAACTGTTAAAACTTTAAACATCTAGCACTAATAGATTCCTTCGAGCTCTTAAAATATTGCATCATTAGTTGAGTGTTTGGTGGTTTTCCTACAAACTACAGTCAACGAGACAATCAAGCATACTTTTTATACATTCCTTTCTGAGAGCTGGCAAGTCCACAAATAAGCACATTACACTTGTTAATCATGCATCAGGCATCAAAAATCCTTATCAACAATCTTATTTATTTTTCGTGACACTAGATCAGAGATTTATTATAGAAACATCTAGTCCCATAAATAATGTGTAAGTGAAAACTTATTTGTCTCAGTGATTCAGTCAAAAACAGTTTTCTATTACAATGTAAGTACGCTAGTAAAATTCTCACTCTTCAATCTTCCGGGTTCAAATCATGCTGTTCTTACGAAAGGGGTATTCTGAAAGTGATATCTACGTGGTATGACTTGAAAAGCTTCGGCGGTGATCCTATTGTTCCACTCAGTTAGTATTTGACAGTTGATCGGATGTTAATACTTTAAATTTAACAAGACGTTTTAGTGATGAGTGTATTTTCGTAATATTACTAATGGTGGAAAAATAGTCCTACTGGCCTCTTGTGTGCCATTTATCCTGGCTACGGTTTCTTTTAGATTTCAAGAAAGCGACATTTAATTCCCCATGCTTTGTCTATTTTTCAGTAGTAGTTCAGTAGGTGTCGACTTGTGTTAACCATTCCCGAATGTTTCGTAAAAAATAGCCCGCGTAATTAACAAGTTCATTTCCATTTGACTCAAAACAGCAGTTTCCAATCAATAAACTTAAGCATTCATGAAGTACATTTATTCACTACCGACAGCTATAATCTCTGGTGCCCGGTTTTCTAAGGCGTGAAAGTCGAGTTTAGCCCCACTAAATTAGCATAAAGCGTTGACCATCATATTTTCCTAGGAAAGGTAGTAATCTTAATAAGGTGAGTGCGGATATATCAGTCTGATTGTTGTTGTTCCATCATTCTTAGAACCAATGGTAGTTTCCAACTTAGTTGTCTAATAGTAATCGAAAACTTAGAACTTTCGTATGTTTCACGCTAATTGTTCTGTATTCATCAAATTTAAATTAACCATTAGGCTTTTTAAAAAATGCTTACCAGCTCTAGGTGTGTTGATCACTTCTAAAATTGAAAATAATGTCGAATTCCAAACATGCTCCCTGAGAATTCGGTTCCGTGTCACCCAACTTCACAATTAGAAACGTTACCATCGAAATATCCGGGACGCGATTGATCTGCAGGCTCAGACTTTTCTGCCGTCTACTTCCAAACAGTACCTGTAAGTCAACATAGTTCACGTGATATGGAGCCACTTAGATTAGTAGATTGTAGCTTAATCGATAAAATCCGATCAGCACTAAAAAGGACTTGACATACATAACATCGGTTACTATTGAGTGATCACTCAGTTGTGAATTTCAGTGATATGAAACTTACATTTATTAGAAATTAATTGTCGTTCAACCTAATATTAACTACAACTCAGTATTGAGCGATTCCTTAGTCTTACCTTTCGGACTGATAGAGAGTTGACTTAATGGTTATACTATTCAATTAGTATTAGGCTGAGGGTCCGACTTTCTGTCGGTTTTGGTTTGAGTAGTCAGGTAGTTTAACCTGTCCTTGCAATAAATATACTTCTCGAAGCCTAGTACATAAATTTTTGTTTAGTGAGTTGAATACCGCCTATATCAAGATTCAAATCCCAAACTGCCCATTTTCGTTTACACATGCTTGATTATCGTAGTGTAATAGCTAATTCCTTTGGGATAGTAAGCTAATTTAAAGATTTTTATAAGTCATGAATGCTTGAGTCTAGAAGTATAATGTTCATACTAAGAATCGATTTATATAGACCAGTCGCACTATTCTGAACATCACAATGGCGTTTTCATAAACACTATCAAATTGTTGTTTTTCTTATGTACGGATAGTAATGGCCGATTTCATCTGTTTAATATTTTATCTTCAAATAAGATAAAACTGTCAACTCACTGTGACATATAGTGTTTTTCAAAAGTGGTTTGAATCAACAGGTTAAATAATAAATATATATTTTGTTATATCCCAATAAGTAGAAAATTGTATTTCCGACATTTCGTAACTTAATGTAAGCCACTTCAGTTATTTATCTATTCCGAGGAAGTGGTTTACATTAAGTCACGAAACGTCAGAAATACAACTTTTCTACTCATTGGGATATGACAAAATATATATTCATTATTAAATCTCTACTCAATTTACTTGAAACTATCAAGTCCAACCTGGGCATTAATACCTACAACAGGTTAGGTATTCAAATTAGTGGGTTCTGAGTTTAGATAGCTGACTATCATCAATTTTACTGACAGAAAGGTTTTACATCTTGGCATGATATATATTTTCGCGTCAATTTCTTGCCAGAGATATTTACAAATATATGAGTTTGTGTTATTAGTGTTACGTACCAACTGTACATTCTAGGAATGGAGACGCTGTCACATAGTTCCCTTGTTAGTCAAGTGCATGGTAATGTTGTACAGCTTTGTTTGCCGACCATGAAGTCTGTTCTTTACGTGCAAAACACATCTTGAGGTTGTTATCACTGCCAGTTTGCCGCTATTTGATAATTCATTAAGGTTATCTAACTGTAATTAACTGAAATATGTAAAATAAGTTAGCCAATATATAGTAACTGACCTTGTCAGTACTTGATACTTCCCGTCTAATTACTTGCTGAAATACATTTATTAATCTAACACTTCACTTCCAACAAGGTTTTACCAGGAAAATAAGTATATGTGTTCGTATTTCGAATCTATGTACGAAATCAGAAAATGATCAGAACGATAGACCTCGAAATTCCATGTCCTTGAGGTTAACGTAACTGTGAATCTGTGGAGTTAAATATTTGATAACAAATCCATGATGCCAAGTTCCAAAATTGTTGATAGGCATACCAACAGCCGAAAAATCGCTCTTGGCTAACATAGGTAAAATGAAGTAAGTAGCGCACTATATTATTTAGTTGTTACTATTATAACGAAACAACTAGTTGATAAAATTACTCAAGTGACTAAAGAGGATGAACTAACAGACTACTCGTGGAACCAAAACCTAAACGCCAAAATTAATAGTGATCAAAATACAGAAACTGATCAGATCTCTGAATATACTGTTATTATTGGTTAATTAAGACTGTCATTTATGAAAAACATTTAAACAACCTAGTACGACTGAGTTATGCATCAGATGGCAAGTGATCACTAAACAATGAACATAAGAGTCAAAACGACTAGTGAGGTTTCATCGACGCCTGTCGTGTCAGTTATTCATTAAGAAGGAAACATCTTACTACTGCTTTATGAAACTACTGCTGACTGTTGTTCCATACTAAATTTTTTATCGAGTACACTGTTGAACAAGGCACAAGCTGAATACACAGAAGTAAACAAACAAGTGAAGAGGAACATCAGAACCGACAAACGTAAATATGTGGAAGATCTAGCAACGACGGTGGAAAAGGCTGCAAGAGAAGGAAACATGAGAGAACTGTATGACACGACAAAGAAACTCTGTGGAAGTCACCTCAAAGCAGAACGACCAGTGAAAAGCAAGGAAGGCGAGGTAATCACCAACATTGAAGAGCAACAAAACAGGTGGGTAGAACACTTCAAAGAACTCTTGAATCGACCAGCTCCACTGAACCCACCCAACATCGAAGCAGCACCCACGGACCTCCCAATCAATGTTGGCCCACCAACAATTGAAGAGATCAGCATGGCCATCAGACAAATCAAGAGTGGCAAAGCAGCGCGACCAGACAACATTCCAGCAGAGGCACTAAAAGCAGACGTAGCGGCAACTGCACGGATACTCCACATTCTCTTCAATAAGATTTGGGATGAGGAACAAGTACCAACAGACTGGAAAGAAGGACTACTGATCAAAATACCGAAGAAAGGCGATCTCAGCAAGTGTGATAACTACAGGGGCATCACTCTTCTCTCAATACCGGGGAAAGTCTTCAACAGGGTATTGTCAAACGTAATGAAGGACTGCGTAGACGCCCAACTTCGTGGTCAACAAGCAGGATTCCGTAGGGATAGATCGTGTACAGACCAAATCGCAACTCGACGGATCATTGTGGAACAATCCATTGAATGGAATTCATCACTCTACAGCAACTTCATTGATTACGAAAAGGCATTTGATAGCGTGGACAGAACAACACTATGGAAACTTCTTCGAAACTACGGCGTGCCTCAGAAGATAGT